GTCAAGTTTGGAAAACATGACTACAGGCACATAGTGTCAAATCTTCAACCAAACGAAATGTGACAATTGTCAACTAGTAACTGTAAGTCAAGTAGTGAGATAATAACATTCCATTTTATTTTAATGTAAATTAAGTGGTGTTATAATTTAATATTAGTTAGTTTTATACTAACATACAAGTCTTCCTTGGTTATCATGCAGAAATACTTGTTGCTAAGTAACTTGTTACAAACCTGATATTGTTCATTTTAATTACTTCAAGTCCAGGGTCGTCAACTGAAAGAATATTTCTCCAGAAAAAATAAACAGAATATTTATTAAGATGTTAATCCATTTTTTATTTTTGAACAAAAATTACAATAATTATTATTTGTTTAAAAACTTATTAAAACTTAAAACTATTTTTTTAAGACGAAAAAAAAAATTACATTAAAAACAACTAATAACTTACACATACAATTTTATATAATTTGTTTGGAAGCTGTTCTTTTGCGAAGGCTTAATCTTTTTAGTTTCACTCTTTAGTTGGTCTAAATCACTGGCCCCAATTTTCAAATTAAGTCAAATAGAATGGTATATTATGATATTATTAAGTTTATTTTTTGAATCGTTAATGACAGTGTTTATGTCAACAATTGTTGAATAATTTTTAATCATTTTAATTAAACAGAGTCAAGCCTATCTGTGACACCAAAAATCAACTTATAATTAAAAAAACGACAACAATACAATTTGTTCACGGGAATGTTGCTATTACTGACTTATTTTGTTTATCGTATTTTTGAAATAACAAACAACGGGTAAAAAAATCCAGTACGGTCGGTATGATGGCGAACAGACATAGTTCAAACAAGTAAAAGTTTTTATGTGAGAGAGCAATAAAAAACGCTATTACAGAACATTTCCATCCGACTGTACATGAATATAATTTTACAATTTTTATCTATTGATGACATTATATTAAACCTGAACTACAAGTACTCCTTATTATAAGATTAAAAAAAAAAAAAATTATGGTACAATTATAAGGTATTTTTATGTTTTACATATTTTGACTATATATTTAACAAACTGTAACCTACTACAGGTTACAATTTGAAGATAAGTCGTTGTTAGTGGTTTTTGGTCGTATCATTGAAATTCAACACAGATCAATTCATCGTGTTTGTTAATTAATTGCGATTTTAAATTAACTAAAAAATATAATTTAGCTGAATAATATTCTTCTGCTCTCTCTTTCCTAAAAAAATCCAATTGTAAACAATTTTAAATACACTTCAGAATATATTTTTAAAGTTATATAAAATTTATTTAATAATACCCCCTTAACGCCCCCTAACACCCCATTTTTACTGCTGTAAAAGTATGTTGTAATGATTTTTTGTAAAAATCAATTAAAATCAATGAATATATAAGTATAAAATTATTTATGAGTGCTAAATATACATTGTTGAAAAGTTCGAGGCAAATGAAAATTAAAAAATTGGTAGTTTGAGAAATTTAATCTTTTGTATTTATTGTGTTTTAGATATTTCAATTTTATACACAATAAGAAATCGATATTCAAATTATATATTAAGTAATAAATATTTAAAATTTTTTAATGACCCAAATATATGGTATCTTTTCACCTTTTATTGTTACATGGTTAAATTATTCCTATAAATAAATTATGAGTTCATTGTACAAGGTTCATTTATGTACTATGAAAATATCGTGTACTAGAATTAAATACTAATAATACAGTGTTTCCATTCATTATTATTTACAGTTACTTTTCATGAAAATTAAATTAATTAGATTAAATGATAATCAAAGCTGTTTACCTAATTGTTATTAAGCTTCAGTAATACATGAAGAGTAAAAAAAACACGATAGATACGTAATTCCAGTACAAGTAATCTTTGGATTAATAAATAAGTATTTTGCAGATATTTACAATTTTCTTGATGATAAAAATTTTTATTTTATATTAATTTTTTTTTTTTATTAAATCAATTTTTTTTTTGCTTCTCAACAAAGATTTATTTATTTATTTAAGACGTACCATACTTATAAACTTGGCCTGGGTTAAAGACACTTAGGTTGTATTATTAAACGCTCATTCAACAATTTTTTTCTTATATTGCTCTTGCAGGCATACAATTTGGTTTTGATTGAAGAGCGTCTTCTTTACACTAAATTGATTTTTTGAAGTTGTATGAGTTGATTATATTCATGAAATTATGTTCAAATAATTGATAAAATTTTAAATACATTCTGAATATATTATATCATAATAGTAAAGGAAATGTACTTTATTTTTGTTTTATGAACGTAAAGCATTTCAATAATGGTTTTGTATAAATTTATTTTACATTTGACCTAGAGAATTTACGAACTACAATATTTCATTGAAATGAATTGTAATCCAAAATCTAAATGAGTAAAAAAAAATGTATTTTTGTTTTGTCTGATAGATTGTAAGAAAAAAACTTATTGAATCGTAGTAATATCCATCCAGTATTGCTCAAGGCACGATATTCCTATCGTTGACAAAGCTAAAGGCCTATACAGAGATAGCACGTGCCAAGTTCCAATGTTTATATCCGTTAAATCTTTGACCCGAGGCTTAAGATTTTGTTATTTATTAACATCTGTTTTATTATGAGACAGGGTGGTCAGCCCTACGTTCAACATCCAACCTGGAGGGGTCAGTCCACATCAACTAATTAATGTCAATGTGGAGCTATTCCAGCATACGTTTTGGTGTGCTGAACGATGGACGCACCACTTTCCCTACGCCAATTAAATTTATTTATTTATTATAATAAAAATATTTGAACATTTAATACTACAAAATACTATTATGTATTTTGTATACATAATATTTTATATAAAATAATATTAGAATTAAAAAATATATTTTTATTAGCATTTTAAGGAACTTTTGGATATATTATATATAATAGGTTTCCACGAGATGAACAAAATCAACAAACAAGTCCTTCGGATGTTTTAAGATATATGGTATTATTTAACTTTCAAAGTTTTTCAAACTTAATGAATTTAAATAAAACCTAGTTACTTTATGGATTAAACTTATATAAATAAATTTAGATACTATAATAAAATTTATAAACATTAAATACAATATAAAGTGGTAAATTATATTATAATATATTATACTAAATTATATTATATTATATTACATTACATTATAAAAATTATATTAATTATATTATGGTATTGTATCGAAATATAATTCAATAGAAATAAAAACTAAACATTCAATATATTAATGCAACAAATTTAACTATAATAAATCAAAAATGTATACCTATAATTTTTTATAGGATTTACCAAAAAAACAATTTTATAAACCCTTTTTTATGTGATTTATTATCTAAAATAATTGCTTTTTTTTTATCAATGGTGAGGGTTTACCCTCATTACCACTGTTTAGGCCACTGAATAATTTTATCTAACTTAATCTAAATTCAATAAAAATCAGATTAAAGTTTACTTTAAAGCTAAAATAACTTTGCCAAAATTTTTTCTTTCGGCTAAAAGTTCTGAGCTTCAATTACCTAGAACATAAAATAGAAGTTAACTTTTAATTTCACTCTATATTGTGAAGTTCATTAAGAAATCAAAATTCAAATATTTAACTATTTAAATAATATTAATAGCTTCAAAAGTAAAATTTACTAGTTAATATAATATAATTTTTCTTTAATTTTTACTAACGTTTTCAAAATTAACCGTTTCAAAAATAATGGGTTTTATATAACCTCTTTTCAACATTTTAAATAATTTTGTCATTAAACTATTTATTTTTTGAGGGTCTGAATCAAATAGTAATCCTAAATGAACTCCTGACATACTTATGTTTAATTCAGTTATACCACGAGGAGTAATATTTTTTGTCTACCAATTAATATAAAGTGTTTTAATTATATTTAATGTATCTCCTTGGATAAAAGTACTTCCGCCCAAAAATTTTTGTGAAAAAGTTGTAATTTTAAATCACCTCCTATGGGCAGGTGAATGGTCAGATTTATAAAAAATATATGCCAAATGATAAGTAAAGACATCATGCATCAATAAAAAAAAATGATATTGATTTTTAAAAAAGTTATGTCAGTTTTAAATAAAAAAAGTTGAAAAAATGTCGAAAATTAGCGATTTTTAAATTTGTAATTTATTTGGAGATTTCCCCCATTTACGGGGAACGAGGGTAATATCTTCGACTAGGTACGATTGTGATCTTTTGACATATCGTTCGGTGAGAACTGAGAAAAAGTGGTAACAGATACAAAAAAGAAACACATCATAGTAAAATTAATACCTTCTCAACTTTGCATCAAAGCTAAAATGTTATAAAAAAAAGTCACAAGTAAAAAACTATGATAACCCTATAGTTACAAAATAATGGAGTACAAATTATAATAAAATTAATAGTATATTATTATCTACAGAATAAAGCCAGCCTTCTAAAATACTAAACAATCGAATATCGATCAAACATTTACGATTACCATTCACCATCGATGGGAATAAATTAAATAAACTTTCAAAGTAAAATTCAATATACCATTTGAAAAAACAAAATATACATTTTACCAAGCACCAATTTTATTTTATAGTACTCGATATCCATAATATTGGGGCCCCCAAATATTTCAAAGAGTCGGGCTCGCTTGCACCGGCGGTTTATCCGGCACTACCTGTAACTGCATTTTTAATTATTCGCTTTAACCATACAACAGTCATTATTTATATCAATCATATTTGTCGTGTAAAATTTATTAAAAATTGCATCAGAATTTAGCAACAGCTATTATCTGTTCTCCAAATTTTAATAGGTTTATATTTAAAAGTTCATTGAGGTCAAGCCAGCAAGACGGTTGGGCACAGTCTTAAGAATTCATGTTGAACGGTGATCGTTGAATTAGTAGTAGGCTAGGAGGAGAGAGCGCGGGGTGTTGAATATCTGTGGCGTGGTCGTATCATGTTAAGGTATTCTCGCGTCGTGGCGTTGCCGTACAGTTGTTAATTTGTGGTCGTTTAGCGTGTACGGAATTTATTCCAGCGGGTTTTCCGAAAACGAGTGTTAGAATATCTTTATAAAATATCGTTTTTCAACACTCCTGTCGGTATTTCTTTACGTTATATTTTTGTTTTAATATAAATTGTATTTATAATTCAACTACTGTATTTTATTTATCGATCACCGCTGTTTGAAAGTCAACTTAATAAAGCGGCAGTCTTATTAAATGTCAAAAATTTAAAACCTAAGCCAGAATTTTTCCGATAATTCGTGATATTTTCTACCTTAACTACCAACGAAATTCATTAGTTTATTCTATTATACATACCTGACGTTCTCAGTATTATTGTGAGTATCTAAGCTTTTATAAGTAATTTATACTTGGTATTTATGATAAGATGTTAGAATAAATTTGATAAATTTTTATTTTTTACATACTTTTCGATTTGAAAGCTCTTACTAAAACTACTTATGTTTTTTAAATAGAACAAGTTATTTAATACACTTTTTAATTCGATAAAAATATGTGTATCTAATATAGTGATGAGTTAAATAATGTGTATTAAATAACTCAGAGTCAATAACTCATATGCGACTAATATTTCCAATTATTAAATGTTCACGGGTACAAGTTTAGTGCAAACATTAATATTCAAAAATATTTACTGTTACACCTTCGATGATAAATTGTATGGTTCTAAATATTACATTTATTCCCGGAAAATAATTTATTGCTATGTTAAACTAAAAAAATTTACTAGTAATTTTTTGTACCGCAATTTCTTAATTACTGAATAATAGAAAACCTACGTCCTATAATATTTTGATATCAATTATAAACTGCTCAGTAAATACAATAACTAAATCACAATTTCATTTTTTAATTTGTTGCGCCCCATTTGTGACACGTGTCGCATTTTATTGTTTTTAATTTATTTCATAGAACTATTAAAGTTCTTTATTGAAAACCGTTAATTTATAGCCAGTTAAATAATTTAATGTTTGTATTCATTGGTATCAATAACGAGTTTAAAGTACATGAATTCATTCGATTTTAAACATTAACGATGCATTTACCTAACATAAAATAATAAGTCGGATCAAATGAAAGTCATCCGACAATCTTAAAAATGATTTCTATTTGTGAAATTGCAATTTCCTTCGTAACATCATCCTTTTGCTTTTATATTTAACAAATTCCAAATTTGTTAAATGACTCATAGATTATAAAATGCATAATTTAAACTTATATACAATTAAACTAGTGTTTACTTCCGCTTTTTCTATTTTATTTGTTGTGTAAAATAAATGATATAGAAAAATTACAACATAACAATAGTTGTGTATAGGTAGGTAGTTTTAGGTAATTTTGGTAAGGTGATTGACTTTCACGACCTTGACAATGGACGGTTTATCGATTTAGCAAAGGGAAGCATATGTTCACCTTGTATCTTCTATTAAAGTTTGGTGCTAAAAATTATTTCGAGGTTATAACCTTAACATAAAGCCCAAAACACAAACACCAATGACCTTCCCTGTGTTTATTAAAAATGTGAATATTCTTATCGACGATGTTGGCCTACTCAATAAAGTTATTCGAAAGTACTTTTTATCATACGACTCGTTAACGTTCTCAAATATTTCATTTATTGCATCATGGTAATAGACATTAATATTTCTTTACTTTCAACGAATATTTTCTGATATCACCTCTCTAAATTATCATCTCAAAAGCCATACACATTTTAAATGTATGTAATCTATCCTCTTTACAATTACTTATATTCAAGAAATTTAAACTTTTTTTTTTTTTAAATAATTATTGTTGTTAACTTTATTGTTATTTTATTCGGTAAATTAAACAAGATTTTTGTGAGAAATCTTTTTTGAAACAACTAAAAATAATTTTTAAACATTTCATAAGTAAACTTTTATTGAATATTAAAAAAAATGATGATAAATTATTTATAAATTGAAATCGTTGAATTAAAAATGGTTATTGTTTTGTTCGTTTTCATGCTTGAGAATGGGCTGAAGAAAACGCGTATTGTTGTGACAAATCATAATTATACGAATACGAATATTTAATGTGCATGTGTGTAATATTAAATTTGATTTTGAAGTAAGCAGATGTGATTTTTAAATACTTATAGTTTTAACATTAATTTAACATAATAACGATTATTCCATTTTCTTCCAACACCTGAACAATGGTTATCGAAATGTAAATGTGAATAATATATTTCATAAGTTTATCGTAGTGTTTTTAACATGTGTTATTTCCATGTGCTAATAAGTTATACTCAATATAGTGACGTACTAGTTAAAAATGTCGAAAGATTATAAACACAATGACAGAACAAAATTTGGCTGTTTAAAAACCATGTATAGTAGTAGGTCACGATAATAAAAGAACGGTGTTAGTTTTTGCTATGCTTGTACTGTCTTAGCAATTGACTATTTTTTTGACGTCACAACATTTTATGGTGTACCTATTTATGTATGCATTTCTCGCCCTTCATTATTTGAGAAAACGTTTTTATATTCTGTAATATTAAGCACAGTGTAAAAACTAAGTAACACTAGTTCCTGAGGTTAAAGCTTTCATACATTCATACAACAATTATTAATTAATAATTGTTGTTTTGGTCTGTAGCTACTGGCAATGTTATTCATCGTAGTGTTGTTTCATTTACGGTTTTATCCATCGATATTAGATGTTCTTAGTCTATATATCTTATGTTAAATGGCTTGCTAAAAGAAAACAAAAACATAAAAATGACGTAGTTACGTGACTCTAATATTTTTTAAATGTGATTATGATATTGAACATTTTCAATTTTTGTAATGGTAAATAGAACCAGACCACTTGAAGTATACCAATTAGTAAAAGGAAAATGACGTACTACTAGTATAGTATTCTATAACTTACTATCTGAAAACTTTCCCTTTGGAAACTAATTCATTTTTTCAATTATATAATTTAATTCAAGGTAGTTTTTATTATTGATTTTCCTTTTACAAAATTCTGTCGATCGTGGAAAATTAATATAATTGGAAGTTATTTCTTATTTTTTTACCATATACAAATTAAATGTTCATTTATATATAATAGTGCCAGTTAATAGTTTTTAAATTTAAATACTAGTGTAGAAGAAATTTGACAACTTATAATTAATATTTTCATACCTGAAAATTCAAATAATTATTATTATCTTAAAAAAGACAAAAAAAAAGTCTATCGATCGAGTTAACTCTAAAGTTTTTATCCTTTTCTTTAATCCACTTTATTATTATTTTATACTAAAATTTTAAGATATGCTAACTCTTAATTAAGTTAACATACGTATCATATGCAATAATAATTTAATAAAACTTTTTCATCCATTAGAAGAAAACTCGAAATCACGTGTTGAACACATAAGATAGTAATTAATTTCTGATAAATGACCTTTGTTTATATTATGTTATATAGTTAAGCACGCATAAGGTTTCACGTTTAAATCCTAATAATTAATAGATTTTAATGAGTAAATTCTCGTGGCATAATATAAACATAACAAAGTGTCTCAGCAGATTCTGACATCTTTAATAACTTTTTATCAACAATAAAAAAAGTCCTTTTGATCTAGTTTTTAAATATTATTGTTTTGTTTTTAAAAAAGTAACGCTAAATATTTGCAGGATTAAAAGTAGTCAAAGATATCAGAACATGATGAGACATCTGTATATTGATCACGTGTTTAATTTATTGATTAAGGTATATTTTTATGTAATATATATATTTCATATATATACAATCATCGAATAAAGTGAATGTTGACTATACTTTTTTATCATTCTCCATATAAAACCAATTAAGAACATGAGACAATTCTAATTGTGTACAATGTTGAATTTGTTACTTACAAAAAAAACATGTCTAACAATAATATCTTCTTGTCTATTTTTGTTTGACTAAAATAGAATATTGCACTAATGCGTCATCATTTACGCAAATGTCGAAAAAAGTTCACAAGTAAATTATTATTCATGTCATAACATAAGTATTGAGTAAATGACAAGTAGTTGTCAATAAGTTTTTGAATACTTTCTACATTAATGTGACCACATAGTTTGACTAGTTCTTTGAATCATTAATAGAACCATTATCATTTATCTCTTTTTGTAAATGTATTTATATTTCAACAAATAATTAATATTTGTGATCTTATGGAAACAGTTTGGTGAGCTGAACGATTAACGAACAAATGATAATGATAAAACACCGAGTTCAGTAGTCAGACGATATTATAATTATATAAGTTAAATAGATGAAAGGTCTTGTCAATCATATTTTTAACAGATTTTAGAAATTACACAATAGTATATCACACATACTCTAAGAAGTTTTAACGACAATACATAGAAGGTCAGATGAAGGCCGCATATCCCGGATGTATATATTTCTTAACGTAACAATCTATAAAATTATTTACTGCATAATTTTTTGTTTACATACATTTAAAACAATTTGTTTATATTAATTTTTATTTAATTTCAATTAGATTTCTTGACTATTAACAGTAATTATGATTAAACTTATATCGGAGAAAAAAATGAGTTTTTTTAAATTATTATCTTTTAATAGGTTATCTTTTCAAAGACCTTTTAATTTTAATATTATATTATAATAACGTTAAGTATTTATGATCTGATTATAGATGGGTTGGAAAATGTTTATGAATAAATTTCTAATACCTAAGTATTAAACAAACTGCGTAATGAGGATTTGCATTTTTTTTTGTCTGCTATAAGTTCTAATTGTATTCGTAAAGAATGTTTTACAATTTTAATGAACTTTTAATAATTAGGGTAAATAATTTATTTTCCTTTTTTCTGAAGGAATTCATATATTAGATCTTATTGAGATAATATATTTTATTCTGTTTTCTCTGTATCTCATTTTAAAATATTGTAATTTTATTTCATACTAGTTTTTTGTTAAAATTACTTTTTCATTTCCTTTAAAGATCAATTAGGTAATGTAAAAAATTAAACGTATTTATCAATCATCGAGTATGAATAAATTTGCTCGACCTTGTTGCATGTGTAAGATTTATTATTTTTAAATTACTTGGGGTAAACCTGAATACTTATTAAAGTCAACATTTCCAATAATATTAAAGCTATAAACCACTTCTAACAACCACATTTGATCATATAATTCGTATGTGTTCTATTGTAGAGAAAATTACGCTTTACATTATCAATGAATGTTGTTTTTCACACTTTGTAGACTCAATTATTATTTAATTATTCATATTATTTTTTATTTTTTACTAAAACTCTATACTATAAGGCAAGTTTAATGAATTTCTAATTATTATTGTTATTATTTTATGGTTTCTACGCTATGAATTACGTACAAAATTTAATTAACTTAAACATTGCATTTGAATTAACAAATTTTATTTAAAAATCATTAGGAAGAAAAATGTAATTCAAAGTTAAATTTTGAATATTTGCTATTGAATATTAAATAAGAAGATGCGAATAAAATAAAAATAAAACACTGGTAACTTGTATTGCTTTAAATAGGAAAAAGATATAATATAATTTTTTAATGCTTGCTATTGGTTTCTGGATAGATAATTATAAAAAAACTTGGAACTTTACTTGTGACACATACCTTGCCCTTATAGTGTCTCCTCAGCCATAATGACGTTGCGTCAGATCGACAGCCGGTGTAAAACGCTGTTAAATTAAACTGATCCTAGAAACTAATTCAATGATGATGATTTACATACATTTTTAAGGGGTGACCAAATTAAAGTTGCCCTTCCACTTTAAAATCTTTTATACTATCTTACTATCAATATATTATAAAACAATTTCATTTTTCATCATGATTCAGAGAATGAGGGGCTCTCACTAATTAAATTCTTGAAATTCCTTCAAATGTTATACAAACACTACTAAGTGATCACAATTAAACTAGTCGGGTTATACTTACTTTATATTATTAATATCAGGAAATGTTTATAAAATGTTGTAATCATTAACGTTGAGTGAGTCATTTAAAAGGAAAGGTAACAAGGTCGTCATTTTATTGAAAAACTATACTAGACTTTAATTTACTATTAAACAAAAAATAAAAAATAATAATATATATAATATATTTTTAATATAGAATCATATTCTATGAAACTATACGTGTCTGGAAAATACATATATGTGTTCTCCAAATAACGTTTATAAAAATTTGAATTTTTATTTATATTATTTCTTAAATAGACATTTAGTGGAGAATATAAAATTTTATTAATTATGATTAAAATAATTCTGATTTTATAAAAATTAAAAAATATTGGATCTATTGGACTTTAAACATTTCATTTTAAATGAACCATTATTAAAAAAAAACAAAGAATAAGTTGTATATAAGTTATTCAACCGGAAACTGACTGCAATAGCATATTAATGGCCATCCAATATAGTCAGCGGACTTAAAACTAGAATTTCAAGGTTTATTATTCCTTTCATCTAATCTTATATATATATATAAAATATAGGAATTATTTTCAAAATAAACCTTATACCAGTATTTACTGCATAATTGCAGCTCAAACAATAATACTTTGGTATTTATCTGGTTTTTTGATGTAAATAAAAGATACTTTAACAATGTAATATTATGTAATAGTATATAACCATAAAGTTTTTTTTTGTTTAAAATTCTCATTAAAAAGTCTATATTGCATATATTGTATCGATTTTTTTTTTAATATGAATATAAGAACATTTTCCTTAAGTATTTAAATTCCACAACTGCAGAGAAGCTGAATTGCAGCCAAGGTTGTTTAGTTATATTATTAAAATAATATGTTACTAAATTAATTAGTTCTTATGGGTATACTTCCTTTTTTAAATAAAAACTAAAAACTTTAATATTGTTAGATTTTACAAATTTTAAATCCCATAAAAATAATAAATATTGTATTTTGAAGAGGGTACAAATGGTTTTTGTTATCACTAAAAAAATTGTTAGTGTGAACAAAAAAATAAATAATTTTTTGTTATATAAACAACTATGGTTTTAATATTTACAGGTTACATGTTGTAACTGATACTCAAGTACCAAAATAAATGACATTTAAACAATAGTATTTTATTGTGATACATAAGCCTAATATTTATTTAAAATAACCAACGATAATTCATCATTATAATGCTTTGTGTAGTCGTTATGCAAAATTATTTCTCGGTAACACTTTAAGTAAAATGTATAACGCTCAATAATTTCTTTACTTATCCTTCTTTAAATGCACTTCAATACAAACTATTTTAGAATGGTATTTTTAAAAAAAACCATCTAGTAGTGGTATCTAGAGATAATATAACTTAATTATGTCAAAATAATATGTTCATTAGTATGAAGCGTAAATTATCTTCTATTTAGTGCCTAAAACTTGAATTTTATATAACCCACTGGCATATGCATGACCAGTAATTAATTTCTTATAGCGAATAAATTTGCATGTATGTTGGTTTAAACTATAATTATATTTAAATTACAATTATTGAAATATTTAAAAGTGTGTATAAATTATCAACATACCAATAATATTTTAGTTATTAGGTGGGAACTAAATTTGATGGGATTACTAAATATTTGTTTGAACATTGCGACTTAGTCAATTAAATGGTTACTAATGATTTAACGCGTGATTCGAGAATGTTCCTTTGTCAATTCATTTTTTATAGTGCATGCGTCCAACTGTGAAGGCCGCGGGTACTAGTTTCTTCTGAATGATCTTTTAATGTCTTATTAGTGTCTAATTATTAGATTACGTACTGTACTTTCCAATATACGTACTGTGTTATAGATAAATCATAATGGTTTATATTTATACACTGATTTTTCTGTAAAAAAAATTATTGTAATTTAACGTTATTAATTATAATATTGTTTACGTCATTGTTTTAACTGGAAAAACCATTATAATAAATACATTTGAAGTAATTCCTATAGAACGTTAGTAATAGGTAACGTTAACTAATTAAAATTTTTTGACCATTTGATTTTGAATTTAAACTATAGCCTATGATAATTTTTATGTTAGATTACATATTAAACATTGACAGTGATTGGTAGGGACGGTAATTTTCATGAATTCATTAACCTTCAAAAGTTGGTCGAATCTATTTTTTAGACTTTTTATTAAGTAGAATTTATGTAATTTATTTTATTACTTCGTATTTTAAGAACATTTTATTATAACTGTTATCTATTTAATATTTTTAATGGTTAAAATTGAAATGTAATTTCATACACGAATTAAATCGACTCCCGCAGTAAATTTTATTTTTACCGGTTTCTTATTAGAATTTAAACGAAGAATTTTTTTTACTGAGAAAAGGATAAAATCTAAATATAAATCAATATGGTTTTAAAATATTTGACTACTAATTTTTTTGTCATTAAAATTATTTAAACGGAAAACAGAGAAAGAAAGTAAATTGAGTTTTGTGTCTTGGAAATCAATATAGTAAAATATATGTACAAGAAAAATCCATTGATTTTCATTGTTAAGCAGTTGATGAATTATTTTCAAAAGCCTTCTTTTTCTTTGCCTTTGGAGGCGAGGAAAAAGAAAAATATTATATTTTCAGAAACTAATTTTCTGTTTTATCATTCTTCTAAGTTAATGAAAAGATACCTTTATATTTTACATAATACATTATAAATCAATATATTTAAAGAAATATGAACAATTTTAATGAATTGTTACGTTCACAATGCTTATTTTAATTTTTATATGTGAATTTTCTCGTTAAAAGGCATGGCTTTTTTGAACATTGTCTATGTCCATTTTACCGGACTGTTTTATATAAATTTTAAATTAAATATACTTATGAAAACTACTCTGTATGATAGCTTGAACACAATATAATGTAAACTTCTCAAAATAATATGTTGATTAGGTACATAACATAAGTTAATATACTGATAATATCAAATGATTGATTTTATTAAACAGGCAATTTTTCATATTTATTCAAGTTAACAGTCTATCCCAATATAAAAATTATATCTATGTTCAAAAAATAATCTGTCATGATTAACTGTTGAAATGTTAAACTCGTGTATTATATTTGTATTTGTTGAGTTCTCATTTTATGAAATATATCTAGACGTAAGTAATGAGTTAACTGATAAGATTGTGTACTTAATAATTCAGAAGTACAAATTTTGCGTACTAAGAGATATGTTTATTTAATGAAAAATAAAGAAAAAATATTTTATAAATACTATTTCAAATATTAGATTTATGCATTAATCGTATGTTTAGTGTTATCATAACATCGCATTATATAATGTTTTAATAGATACTAAAAAATAACGTATGCTGACCAACGAAAATAAAATTTATATCTCATGTTCTAATGTAAATGTGCACTGATGAAGAATGATATCAAATATTAAAAAGTAGTTTTTAATTGATAATTTAAAATGTAATTATAGTTTATATTTTGAAATCCGTTTAACTTCTTATTTAAAAATGCTTGATGATTTATGATGAATTTATGCTTGTTTATATACTAATGTTTTTATTACAATTGTTTTTATAGAGACTTTAAAATGTCGTTGACCAGTGTTCAATCAATGAGTAACCAAAACCTAATGAACATAAACGATAAAATGCTTGATAATATTGATCTAGTAAGTGACATAGAGCAAGCTGTTACGCTCGAAGAACTCAAGGGAGTTTTCAAATATTGTTTTAGGTAAAAAATAACTTATATTTATCAAATTTAAAGTAGAATTTGATCATTTTTTTCATTGCTTGTATTGCAATTAATAAAATGATCTCTTATCGATTTTCATACAAGCGTTATTAGATAAAATAAAGTCCCTTTAAAATTGCTATTATTAGTAAAGAAATTCGAGACTTTCAAAAAATTACACTAAATGTGCATTAATACAAGTAGTCCTATTAATTGAAACTTAATTATTAGCACTCTAGAATTCGTTACTCAGAATAATATTTAAATATAATATTTATTATTACACTTATTCATGACGTAATATTTACAAATTAATGGTAATTTTAAGTATTTCAATTTATGAGTTGTGTTCTATGAGTTGTATTCTATTGATCTATAAATCTTTAACGCCTAAAATTTTAGTTTTCAAAACATTTGGAATTGTTCGGGAACTATTTTAAACTGTGTTCAAATTTTTTTCTAAAATAAAAAAAAGTCCTATATTTCTTAAAATAAAAAAACCTTCTATTGATTGCTAGTCAAATTTTACATCAATTATACTAAGACCATTTGACAACATTCTTCCTGCCATGTTCTATATATTTGGTATATTTTACAATAATTAGCTAATTAGCTGTAATGTAATGTAAAATTTTACTAAATAATAAGTCATTTTTTATATATTTTTATCGTTCAGATGTGGAGTGAATTGGGAGCAACATCACGTGTCACTCGACTGTTTAGAATGCGGAGGATATTCTCTGGAAAGGCCTTGTCCTATTTGTGCAGGACATTGTCATAATATTTGGAAACGTGATCTTGAAGAGGTAACCATCATAAATATTTTAATCGTGATCATTTCGTTATTTATTAACGGGTTATTTATGCTTGCAGTCTCACAGAAGCGGAGAAGCAAGTTGGATAGGAGAATGCTCTTCCAAATGTAAAGAGATGAGCCGTGATGTTAATCAAATTTGTAGTCGACTAGAAAAAGTCAAAGCTACATTTTAAAAAAACTTTTTTCATTATTTATAAGTTTACCGATGACTATCATAAAAACATTGTTTATCATGTTTATTATTACATAATTTAACTCTTAATTCGGTAAAAACATCACGTATAAAGTTTTTCTATGTTAATTTCTACAGAAGAAATTGAAGAACGACTTAGAAAATTATATACTTTGTAAATATTTATCGGCTGTTTATTTTCTATGAAAATTGTACAACAAAATGCAGTGTATTTAATTTTGTTAATTTATTTGTGACAGACATTTTTTAAAACAATATTGTACTGCAATAAAGAATACTATTTATTTCTTAAAAATTGGGTTTTTATTTTTAGTAATACTTGTTCAAATACATAAACTTTAATTAAACACATAGAAAATTAATTTTCATAATTTTAGTAGCTAAATGTATGTCACCATTAATATTCATTTTTTATGATATGCAATATCGTAGAATTTCACTCGCATATGCAGACTTGAAATGACTTTAACTGATTGAAGGTGTAGTGCAAATTTTAACCATTAAAATTGTACTGTCAACATTTTACTTTGTATTATATATTCATAAAATAGGTTATTAAGCCCTATTGTATGTAATTATTAGTGATGGGAAATATCGAATAGTAAAAATATTCGATAGTTTATTCGAATAGTATAGAAAATATTTGATAGTTTATGCTAAAAATAAAATATTTGGTGGTATAAACAAAATTCGAATAGTTAATCGATAGTTTAAGATATTTGAAAATGCCCATCACTAATTTTTTTTATTATTAATTGTATCCTATTTAAAATCGTAGTACCCTGAATAAACAGTTTTCAACAATCCTATTTAGATCATTAGTGTTATTAAAACAGTAAAACAATAAATCTGATTATAATTTTACATAAGACCAATATTTTAGAAAATTTAACTTAACATATTTTTTTTACGAAACATTTTGTTATAAAATGATCATTTCGAAAATTAAGAATGATTTATATTCAAAAAATGAATTTTAGCAAATTATTTTTTTATTTTATTTTTTTGAGCAAGTAAATATTATTTTAGAAAATTTTTGTAAATATCATTTTAGAGGAAAATATTAAAATCTATATTTTCTATTCTATACATTGTTATGCTAAGTATGTTAGTTATAAAAAAAACATCAACTCCTATTTCCTTAATTATATCCTNAAACATCAACTCCTATTTCCTTAATTATATCCTGATTAGTAGCATTTAGATTAGAAGTATAATTTATGAATAATATATATTAAAGCAATTAAATATAGTATGTAATTAATATTAAGAAATTTAATATGTAATTTTTACGGAGAAATAATAAAAAACCCAGCACAGGGGGGTCGCGGCACAGTGGTGACGTGGCATAGTTGGATCAAGTATAATGATATCTTACAGTGATTAAAATCACTATCAAAAATAAACGCTTCGATGCAAATCTTTAGATAGTGTTTAATTTTAAAAAAATTGGTGTTTTATTCCAAAAGCTACTTGATCTGCTGGTTCCTTATTAATATCCTGATTAAGGTAAAGTATGTCGAATGAAAAAGGGTTTATTAAAAAATATTATTTGTCATAAAAAAATTGTGTGGATCCATAAACTTTTCAATAAGTTATAGCATTATAAAGTTAAATATAATATAAATAATAAAATCGAGAATTTTCACACGAAAA